GGTAATGCTGAGCGCCAGAGGGGGGAGGGTAATGCTGAGCACCAGAGGGGGGAGGGTAATGCTGACCAGAGGATGACTGAGTGTTATGATTAGAACTGGCAGGCTCAGGATGAGCGCCAAATTGAGCGCTCCCAGAGCGCAGGGTTTCAGAATAGGAGCTACCCGCCTTAGATGATATGGAAAAATAATTTCCAGCATGGTCCACGCCTGGGCATGACGAGACCGTTTTGAGAGACACGGCAGGGTTTCCCCCCATGATGCTAATGAGGTCGTCATACCAGGGGAATTCTTTCAGTATTTGCGCTGTGAATTTAGTTAGTAAGACTACAAAAAACAAAAAGAAATACACACCATGCAAGTTCTGAGCAGCATTTTCATCCTGGGGCATGATACCAGCGCCGGTTGCATGTAACTTGTCGTGACATTCACGAAATTTTTTTCTGAGGCTTTGAAAGGAACATCAGTACACAACACGACGGATGCATTGAGAGAACATACCCGTTGATATGATTGTTTGTCAAGTCTCGAAATTTGTCTGGCACAGTCGCATAATACTCCGCATATTCTTCATTGTCCTCGAAAACGTACTTTGCGATAACAGCGCATACTGAAACCTTATCTTTTCCAGAGGGGCGGTCACCATCACCGTGCGATTGCTTTCCGTCCGAGTAAAATAAGATTCGGCAATCTGCCTGATTGTTGTGGAGGTGGTCGATGACCTTTTGCGTGCGGGATGGCGCAGACAGCCATTGGATTTGGATTTTTGCATGATCTGAGCTACTACCGGCAGGATTTCGTCCTCCTCGACTTTTGCTAACTCTTCCACGAGTCACAGGCCTTTGTACTTGTTCCATGGCCTTTTGGCCCCTTCGGAAGGGCGTCTGTAAAGCCCGTAGTCGCATAGAGCGACGACGAGGTGATGGTCGAACAACAGGCATGAGTTTCGAAGTCCGCCGGGATGCCGAAGTCTGCCGCATGTCTGAGGCATGTCGAGCCGAATTTGGTGAGTTTCTTACCGAGCTTTACCGAGCTTTAGTAAGGGTACTCTGAGTACCCTTAATGTCAGCACAGACCGCCCACCAGAAAAGACCAATGTCTCCAATTCATCCTCCGATGGCCAGGAGATGGCTGGCCGACCGAAAATGGTGGAACGAATTGTCCGTGTTTTATCTAACCATTCTAGGACATCCCGTATGGTGTCTTTATCACGAGAATCTCGTGGATGCTGAGGGCATGACTGCCCGGATATGTTCCTCAGGGCGGCTTATGAATATTACATGGATGACTGAGAAGGCTGGACCTGTGAGGGCGTTTGTCAACAGCGTGACAAGTCTTCCCGCCTCTTCCGAAGAAAAAATTTCGTCAAGAGCATCGATGATGCATCTGTTCTGCGTGGGGTCTTCCAGGTGACAGGAGGCTGTCCAACGACATTGCATAGACTCTTCAATGAACTGCAGCATGGGAATAAGCCAGATGAGATACCTCTCAAGCTCGCCCATCTGAATCAGGTACACCTACCTTCAAGTTCCACAGACAAAGTGTGTATTGGTCCTTCTTCAAGCTCGAGCCATGCTGATTCAAGCTATTGCCCACCGTTCACAGTGAGTGAGCCTGTCGATCCTCGTTCAAGTTCGAGCCACGCTGATCCAAGCTGTTTCCTGCCGTCGCAGTGAGTGAGTCCGTCGATCCTAGTTCGAGTTTGAGCCACGCTGATCCAAGCTGTTGCCCGCCGTCACAGTCACTCCTCTCATTCTCCCTCGTACCTGCATACCCGTGGACCCGTACCCATACCTGACCACACGGGTATGGTGTGGTACGGGTACGGGTACAGCATCACCAAAAGTCCAGAAAACCGGTATTGCCTTATTAGGCTGACGGTCACGAGGTTTACTGGATCATGGGTGATGGCTGCTGAGACGATGACGCCAGCGCTTGATCATTATGATGTCGAGTAGTTCGTAGCTTACCGTTGTTCCCGTGTATGCTACACAAATGATATGCTTTTGTCATTATGATAACATCCTGATATACTTCTGTAAGTTTGATCCTCCCTGATATTCTCTGCGAATCGGCGATGCATACAGTCCAGACTCCACTTTGAATGCCCGGTTAACAGAAGAGGCTTCAAGTTGTCACGGTCGAGTCCATCATGGACTCCTGTTCTTTTACCGCTACGGCTTCGATGTCCATGCCAGACGTACCCAAGCAAACTCCAGACTACCTCACGATGTGGACTCAGCCAACTTCCAAGCACGCCTCCCCGTCGATTGGGTCTCACAATAAGTGTTGTATGCGCAATACAACAAAACAGGTCAGTTGAAACCATATCGGTGCCAAATGTGTGAATCCGTATCACTGCTCTTCTGTGCACGCTCGATTTTCTTAAGTCCTTTATTTGGTACCCTTTGCCACTTGGCCACTTTTGCGCTGTTGGGGTTGGGCTCGCTCTTCAACCGGTACTAGTACCCACTGCTCTTCCCACCACCACCACCACCACCACTCTTGCGGCTATTGGTCATAGTTTATGACCTGAATTTCTGTTCAAGGTAACACTGTCCACCCCTTCTCATACAGTGTACTTACTATCTCTCCACACAGTGTATCTGCATTTAATACCTAAAGGTGAGTATATGCGCATTGCCTCTATTCCAACGCCTCACTGCAGCCTCAGTGATGTCACCCGACATGGCTTATGTGACGCGGCATGGTGAGAAATCATTTGGTCTTGTATTATATGATCTCTAATTCATTATCAAGTCTTCGCTGGTGCACCGCTTGCTATCAATTGTCTACCTCGTGATACTGCTACCCAGTATATGAAACACCAATCATCCACATGCCTGATAATGTGCGTATTGTTTAGTGAGGAGCCAGGCTATTGAAAACCCACCCAGCACCCGGGAGAGATGCAACTCGGTGGAGTGCAACAAGTCGTCATCACTGGTATGTGATATCTATCTCCGCTCGGCTGATATTGATGATTCACCCCAAGCCATACTGGTCATGACGTTCGTCGTTACAGGCTCATCGCTAGGTGCTATCATCCATCCGATCATGCTCAATAACCTCCTCAACAGTCCTCTTGGTTTTTCCAATGGCGTCCGTATAAGCGCAGGGTTGATCAGCTTATTTCTCTTAACTGCGTGTTTGTGCATGTGAACTCACCTTGATCCGCCGGCGATACCGGTGAACTATATCGTGGCGGCTAGAAGATGTATTCACGATGTACCGTTTGTGCTCCTAATAATAGGGTGAGACCTGCAACGTACATTCCTGACTTTCTCCAAATAACCATTCTGCAGAGGCTTTCTTTTCCAGATCGGGTTCTACTACCCATTATTCTTCTTTCAACTAGACTCTATCCAGCACGGTATCAGTGTTCATTTTTCGTTTTACTCTGTGAGTTCCAGCAATACACGAGTCATCCGCGGCGTCTGCTGACAGAGTCTCTAGTTAGTGATATTAAATGGATCCAATTGCTTAGGGCGATTCACGTCAGGGTTTATTGCGAGGTTCACGTGACAGCTGCAACGTGCAGGTTACATGCAGCGATATGAAAGTGTTAGCACTGATGACGGACGCCGGACATCGTCTTCTCGCACGATACCGCAGGATGCAGAACAGCGGGGATCTCGAACAATCCATAAAGCACTTTGAACGGGCCTCGGATCTCTGTCCCATGGATCATCCCTACCGCCCTGCAGCACTGTTCAATCTAGCCGTGGCAAAGTCTGTTAGTTGCCAAGCGGACGGAAGATACTTTGACCTCGACATCCCCATCTCTCTTTTTCAAGGGGCCCTCGACTTGCACCCCACTGATCATCCAGACCAAAGTGTCACATAGCTCTATCTTGCCATCGCTTTGCTCTCGCGGTTCGCGAAACGGAGATTTCAAATGGATGTTGATACAGCTAAAGAATTGCTGAGCGACGTAGCTGATGTCATATAGTATGTACTACAAGAATAATATGTGCTTATACTAGTACCATACCACTGCAATAAGCCACTATAAGGTGCTGGAAATTGTTCAGGCCTGCTCAGCAGCCATCATATGTCAGTCATGATGCATGACCCATCAGCTGATGGTTAAATGAGCAAAAATTCAGTTTCATGATCTTACCATCTCGGATGACCTGGGGCTGGGCTGGGCTGATGGGCCATGGTGGCTATGGTGAAGCTGATACCGGATGATAAGACCTGAGCATACCTTATCTAGGTTTGGGACTTTTGGTGATGAGGCTTGGACACCCACGGGTTACCCGTGCTATTCCCTAGTGTTGACATAAGCACGTTCTAGATATGTCATTTCTCCCAAATTGTGTACTGTACAGCACCGAAGTTCGCCACTCAGCGCTCAGCCACAGATCCTCCATAGACCCTTATGTACCCGCTTCGCGCCTTTTCCCACCTCAGCGTTGTTCTATTAACTTCCGCTGAGTCTTCTCTAGACTTCGTACATATGGGACATTTTTTTACAAGTAAGTCAAAGTATCATTTCTTACTCCTATCTGTCGGCATTCTGTTCAACGTCTCCGCGAGTCTACCCAAACTATAAGTGTTAGAGTGACTATCAATGATCATAGTCACCCTCACAGTTATAGTTTGGGAACAGACTACTAGTGTTGGACTGCTAGTTTTTTGCATCGTCTTTAACTCTCTGCTCACCATATTATCCATACTGGCAGACATTTTCATAGACACCATTACTACATCCCATGATGTGTGACCCGCATCCACCTTTATTGTATTAACAAATCAAGATGTGATTTGTTACAGCAATAAGGATTTTCGCAATGATTTCGCACTCTCGACAGTGCAGTGTATAGCTGACCATGCGCAAATACATCACTCCTCCTTCAGAAAACTAGCACGGTCAGGCCTAGATTTCGCAACATGCCGGTGTCCAAAAGGCCCCTGATCCGAGTCAACATGGTTTGCTCGCGGGCTCGCACACACATGTTGCTACGTTGATCGATATCGTTCAACACTGACAAAACTCATGACCATCATCAACAATTACATTTATATATTCTTCAAGTTTGAGTTAGAACAAAGTAAATTACTCGTATCCTTCGTCCCAGTGAGATCTGAGATACCCCATGGACACGACATCAATAAAGCATATGTATACCATACCATAACAATGTGCATGAAACGAAAGCGAGGATGAAAAAGGAAAAAAAATGCGAATAGTCGAGCATGCACGTACGAACGAAGGGTCCAGTATCCAAAGTACCAGCAAACCAACCCCATTCCGCACGTGTCTATCCCTGCAAACAATTAAAACCAGGAAGAGAAAGAGGGAGTCCCTTTATCATCACAGCATCGATTTAACCGCCCCACTGCGCCCACGCGCCAGGCAACCCGCGGCGGCGCTTCATCCCCGCACGCGTACGAATACCAGTCCCCCCAATCGAAGACGCTGAAAGTGCGCCGTTAGCGTTCCCGTTTCCATACCCGTCCCCTTCATCGTCGTCTTCTTCACCTACGACCCACCGGCGGCCTCTACTTGTGCCCCATGAGTCGTCTAGCCAGATGTGTCCTTGGGAATCTGGTGCAAAAGACGGGTGTTGGCCGTTGATGGTGCTATTGGTAGTGCTGATGGTGGTGGATGCCGAAGGCAGACTCCGGAGGCTGCCTGCTGTACTGGGTGGGTGAAGATGTTTTCGGAGACTGCGAATGGAGGCTTGGCGTCTAGCTGGGACGAGTATCCTTTCTAGGTCTAGTTCTCCTTCGTCTTCTTCGTCGTCGTCCACATCTTCAGAGGAGGAGCTGGAAGAACACGGGCCTTCCTGTCTATGGCTCGCGGAGGGGTACCTGCTCATACTCCACTCGTCGTTCTCAACCCTCGTACGGGCTAATGAAGGAACCATATCTGATTCCTTGCGTTTCCCCTTCCCCTTTCCTTTTCCTTTCCTTAATTCTTCCTCCCGCTTGTTCCTCCTCCGTCTCTCGTCGTCACGTCTATGTCTCGATTCATCGTATTCAGCACCGGTTCTACGCACCCTCGATCCCGCACGCGATGCAGGCGCAGACCTACACACGACGCTCGTCTGGCTCACCTTCCCCTCAGTCGTACCTGCACGCTGCTCCTGTACCTGTGCGCATAGCAATGGTGGCCGTCTCTGTTCCCTGGGTCTATTCGTCGCCTCTGAAAACGTCGAGTTCATTTTTCGCGTAGAGGCAGTCTCAGGCACACCAGAGAGAAGGGCTTTAGCGACAGATTCCATCCAGTTACGAGGGAGCGGTGGAGGGTCGTCTGTCTCGATGATATCGTCTGATGTGAGGACCACGTCCCGACGTGAAGAACGAGGTTGTGCGTGGGGAGTGCGATGGGAACGGAGGGAGACGTTCGATGAGGAGGGGCGTTTAGCTAGGGGTTGGATATTCGGTGCTGATGCCATATGCCGGAGGTATGCGTGAGCGTTTGGAGCATCTTTGGAAAAGTTGGATGAAGATTGATGACGAATGTAGGCATTTGGAGCGAGAGACTGGCCATGGGTTTCAGGGAATAGGTTGCGTGTGGCATGAAAGCGAGAATGCTTGCGAAGGCTTTCTGGAGATGTATTGAAGGAATAGGAAGATGCGGAAGATGATGGGTGGAGAGCTTTGATGTGTGCAAGCGGCGATGGTGGTTGAGAGTGTAAATCTTTGTTGGAGATCGGTTCCCGTGCCATACTCGAATTACGGCTTACAAGGCCGGCGAGGAACCCGACGACAGTGCCTACGCCACCACGCACACTGCTCGTGTGCTTATCGATTCCATGATCTGTATGTCGCTCGGATTCTGGTGTAAAGACGCGAGTTTCTTTGTAACCGGCCTCACGAAGGAGATCTTCGAGTCGCTCATATGTCTTGGATGTCCCACGGCGATGCAAGGGGACGCGAGCTAGGGTGTCAGGGTAACGTGTACGACCTCTTGGAGGTGTAAAAGGCTGGCTTGCATGTGATGATAGCTCGGAGTCATCTTGTGAAGTGGACGCGTTTGTCTGCAATGACAATCAATGAGTTCAGCCAGCCTCCTCGACGAAAATGATAAAAACACGCACAAAATCGCTGGTCTCGACTACGTTTGAAGCGTGCATGAAAGAGATCCTTCTCCTTTAGATGACTCCTCTTTATACTAAAGGGTAGTACCCCCCAACGATTGCTTCCACTTCCAGGTTTGCGATGTAGGAATAACTGACCAAGAAACAGTGGGCCAATTAGAATTTACGGTCACAAGCGACATCACAGCAATTTCAAAAAATCAGTGCGGGACTAATCATTTTGGATCATCGCTTCATCCTATGCTCTACTAAATGGGCGGCTATTGACTGTGGTTACGAGGGCGTTGCATTTATCTTCACACTCGGCGAACACTCGCACTAAAACTTGATAGGCTAGTCGCATTAACCAAGGCACGTCACTCGAGACCAGTCACACGTAAGATGATATGCATGCATGTCATGTCATAATGTACTTGGGGATACATAGCAATGGAAAACAAAAATATGAAACGACTCCCAAGGCGCTCACTACAGTTACCATCAGCTAAAGAACCTAATGAGAAGCAAAGTGACGTACGAATTGGAGCGCAGCACCCTTTGTCTTTTTCTCACCACCAAGCTCGAAGCTTCAGGAGACAATTTAGGTTTGTACATGACTCGAATAGAACAGAGACGTACTGTTTGCAACGTTTCAACGAGAGCTGCATCTTGTACTTGCACACTGTGCACTCCAACCGCAGCACGACCTTCTTCGTTGTCTTTGCCTACATCCCCAAACCCAATGAGCAGAATTCCATGCTCCCACAGCACAGAACGCACCTTCTTGTGGAAGACAGGTTTAGTCTGACCACCGTACCCTGATTGCTTACGGTCGTAACGACGCTTTCCTTGGGCGAACAGCGAATCTTTGCCCTTTTTGTATTGTGTCACTTTGTGGGGCCTGCATAGTGTTCTCAGCGGTCCTGATCCCATAAGCTCAAATCATGAACATACGTGTGCTTCTTGCACGCCTTGCCCTTGCAATCTACACAACCATTAACTTTCGCAGATTCATAACAAGAACAGAGGTTGCTCACAAGTCCGGCGAGTCCTTTTTAGCAGCAATTCATGAGTGATTCTAAAGCTAGTGAATGGGACTGGCAACGTACTTGGGGATGTTGACCATGATTGTCGGCGTCGGCGGTGTCTTGGGCTTGAGGTCGATGATAGTAGCGTAGATTTCCGTGTACGGCAATCGCCGGTACTATGCAGTTCATGCAATTAAGATTCAGGAGAATCCCGAAGGTTAATGACACGTGATAAAGCGCGTCATGATGACCTCAGTCACCTCACGCGTCTCCAGACTCCCAGACTCCCAGTAATGATGACATTGATTGATGCAAGCTATGCTATATAACTCGCGATGTTCCTCTGTTTTGCGCTCCAATCGCGATGACAGAACAAGTATTCCGCCTTATTCCCGCAACACAGAACTATCCATGGGGGAAGAAAGGGAGCAGTTCACTGGTAGCTCAGCTCGCTGACGGCTCAGGTATACCAGATTTCAAGATAAATGAATCAAATTCATACGCAGAGGTTCGTGGTCCTTTTAAAATAATTGTACACAATTTAACATTTCATAGATGTGGATGGGCACTCACCCAAACGCGCCAACACGAGTTCATGGCACCAAACAGCTGCTCTCAGAGCATCTCGCAGCCCACCCAGAACTCGTCGGAGAATCTGTAATCAAGCGGTTCGGCTTAGAAAACGGACAGATTCCATTCTTGTTCAAAATCTTGTCTTTCGACAAGGCACTCCCCGTGCAGATTCATCCTGATAAGCACACCGCGGAACACGTACACTCAGAAAATCCCAGGGCGTGCGTAGGTAAGGCCTCGTTATAATATGAAATACCATATGTCAAATATACGCAGACTCGAACCATAAAAAAGAAATGGCTCTAGCTCTTTCAAATTTCAGCGCTCTCTGCGGTTTCCTCCCAACATCTCGAATATCCGAGTTCCTCGCCTTCGTCCCAGAGTTCGCCTCTCTCTTCCCAGCCGATATCAAAGCACGCTTCGCATCAGGGGCATGTTCACCTGACGAATCAGGGCGCGAAGCAGCCCTCAAAGACTTGTTATCATGCTATGCACAGATAGATAAGGCAGAAGCTGCGGCGCAACTCAAACGTCTCGTAGAGAGGTATCAAGCCGGAAAAGAATCAGACGAAGAAAAGGATACAAAATCGCTCGTTTTGCAGTTGCATAATATGTACCCCAATGACAGCGACGTCTTCTGCGCTTTCATACTCAACCACTTCAACTTGAAGCCTGGACACGCATTCTCCGTTACCGCCGGAGAGCCCCACGTATACATCACAGGAGGTGTGAAATTCTCTCTCCCAATTGCACCAAACAAAATATAATAACTTGTTCCAGACATAATCGAATGCATGGCAACGTCTGACAACACCATCACCCTTGCTTCCTCTCCCCCATCCCACCTCGACTTCCTCTCAAACGTCGCATACAGCCCAACCCCAGGCAAAACCTTGATCCAACCCACCATGTTCACCCGTGGGAGCACATCCACGGCTGGATCGCTCCTTTACAACCCGCCCATCAACGAACTAGCAGTGATGCAAGTCATCGTAGGCGAAAGGAGGTGTCGAGAGCCATCGTGAGCTGAGAGGGCCGAGTATTGCTGTTGTGGTTGAGGGCGAGGGGACAGTGATGTGGGCGGAGGGGGCGAAGAGGTTGGGATTGGGGAAGGGGCAGGTCGTATTCATCGCTGCGGGGACGGAGGTTAAGTATTCGGCATTTGAGACGGCGTTTAAGCTTTATAGGGCTTTTGTGGAAGTTGCTTAGTGTGTTTGGGATGGTAACGTCGGTTCGATTTTGATATTTTTGCCTAGCCTGTGATCTGTAGAGAACCATCATTTAGGGTTGCATCTATTGATGGTCATCCTTGTATCATTGTTGATGGAGAGACCTCTCTCCGCTCAATGATGATAGAAGGATGATCAGACGATGTGATAGTTAGTGAATGACAGCGCAATGGATCTTGAGCTGGAGGACCGACTCGATGAATGATGCTGTTGATGACTATTCTTCTGTCACAGTTGATGGTACCTAATGATGCGACAGTCTGCGATACAAGGATGATCAGGTGGTGTGATAGTTAGTGAATATGAAAGTGCACAAAGGGGCCGACTCGAAGGACGATGAACTGTAGTAGAAGAGACTCGCCAGGGAATGTCGTCGTCGTGCGGGTACCCATATTCAGAACTACCGCGGAGCCGGCATCCTCAAAACAATAAGAGACCATAATTAACAAAGAACGATTGTTTTCCTTCTATATAGTCCGGCCAGGAGAGTGAATATACGAGTACGCCTCGTAACTGGAGATTTGGCGTTCTTGCTATTTGCTCGGTGCTGCAAAGTCTAGAGTGTATATATTTTTCTACTCTCACACAGGTAGTGGAGGCCGATAGTGGGTGATGGGTGATAGAAGCAAGAACGAAAACGAAGACGAAGACGAAGACGAATAAAAGGAATCAGAATCAAGACCAAGGTCGTTGACTCGAGGGTCCAAGGTGTCTTGTGACAGTCATGGCCAGCCCATTTTGGCCCCTCTATACCCGGGAATTCATACCATAGCAATTGTCAGTCTGAAGTCGATTTGCTATGAAGGGGGCTATCATGATAGGTACTCACCGAGAAATAAGAAGATTCTCCTGTTCTTTATTGCGAACTACCGTGACCCAGGCTAGGTACTAACACTGAGAAATTTGAAAGGTAGGAGTGTATGAAATGAGAGTGCACCAATGGCCACGCAGTGGAGTGAGTGTAGGGTGACATGGGTGGACCCGGGTGCCACCCTAAGTGAGTGATCGCATCAAAGAGTCTTATCGGAGAGGTAAGGAACCGAACAGCGACGGTTATTAGTCAGCAAGAATTGCGGTAGTAACGCGGCTTCGACTCAACTTCGAGTCTTCGACTACTTACTCTAGCACTTCCAGACCATGAACTCATTTAAGTGGTGAATTGTTGCGTCGGAATGATTGAACTACTAGCATCGACAGGTCGTAGAAGGTTCACTATATCAAATTCATGCGTCGCTCTTCCACACACACCATCTTTTCAGCGAGGTTGCGTTCTTTCAATCTCGGTTTCCAATCGATCTCCCAACTGAAGGACTGGCTTTGGAAGGACTCCGAATCAAGGACGCAAACACGCCCAGGGAACTGTGTAATCTGCTTAGGGTGATTCTGCATCATCATGATTTACATGCGAGGGACGGTCCTCTACGCATGATTCGCAGCTTTGGGACGCGAAGGAAGGTTTGAAGCACCTGTTACTGAACAATAATACGTTGGTCATCACAAGCATGTTGAATGGACTTTCTAGAGTGATTTACGAGGAGAATGGTAAAGGTGACCCGCCTTGTTCGCGCATACGATGTTAGTCTTGATGTCGACCAGCAGGGAATGACCCGTACCCTGTAGTCCTGGTTTTGCTTCGAAATGAAATATCATCTTAATCCGTCAATGCGTCAACATCGACAATATCATTCATATGGCCCTACACGGAAATGATTTGTGTTTGCTATGCTCGAGGGTATCATACTGACGCGACATTGTCCAGATGTGCAGTTGGTCGTTGCCGCTTGTGGTCGTTCTGAAGTCATGAAGGGAGAAAAGGTATGTGATTTGACCGCCTGTCCATATAGTTTGGAAGTCAGGATAAGGGCTTCAAGGCGGACATTACAGCTCAAGTAGAGTTCTTGCGAGGACTGATGCACATCCATACAACATCTGATTCTTGATTCTGTAGCAAACAGAACGATAGAAGTAATGTTGGCTGTGCAGTCATGTCCAATCATCGTGTGGATGTACTTGTTCATGAATCATGAAGGCCACCGTTGGATAGTGACCGTGTCTCACTTGACGTGCCTTTCAGTACGGTATACCCTGAATGTAACATCGACTTCAATAGACTCATAACTAACCTCGTTTGTTTGTGTTAGTGACTAGCAGTCGTGTTGGTGTCACATGAGCTTTGACTAAATATGTACAAAAGCAATACATTTCGCTCGTCTAGCCCCTAATGATATAATGACAGTGAGGCAAGATATGGGTATCATTCAGTAGTGAGTGTTATTCAAATGGCCAGAAGCATGAACCTCTTCCACTGATTCAAGTAATCCACCACGTCCTCGGTTTTCACGATGTTAGAGTTATAATCAGCACTAAGCTCGATCACGCCCCCCCAAGAGGAGAGACGAAAGAATCTAAGGCTCCAGTTAGTGACTGCATTAGAAAAACTTAACTGCAATGTATAAAACTCACGGGCCAGGATCAACCCTGTTGACAGATGTGAAGAACTTGGTCACCGAAAAGAGCGTGTTCCCAGCGTCATCCGCAAAAGTGGAGTTCAAATAGTTTTCACCTTTGCCGTCACTAGAAAATGAGTAACATTGATTGGGTGGCAGCCTGCTACGATTTAGAAAAACATGGATGATTCGTGCTCCACACGTACATGTTTGCTTTCGCAGCTGGCACAATGGCAGAGGCGAATATTTCGCCGACCCGTGGCATGCAACTCAACGCAGCCGGTAATTCTATGTGAGCTCGATACTGTTCCTTGGCTAAGTCTGCCACCTTTAGAAGCATATTCTTGTCCAAAGGGAGGACACCTTCCGTCTGGAGACAAGAACGCTGACACCGGAATCCTAGCCATAAAAACACCAAGGATATAACCTGGATGCAGCGAGTATTGTGAGTCCAATCGCCCTCGGAAATTAGCCAGAGACATGTTGTTCAAGTAATGTGACGAAGATGCCGCATTGGGTGGGTTATCAGCTATGACGACCATCGCTAACGCAGCGTGGGCTAGCAGATTCTCAATACGACACAGTGATGGAGGAGGAACAGCTACATACCAAGGTGTGTAAGTGTGAACCCAGCGATCTTTGAGGCAGTTTGAATTCCTCCTGATTCTTCCCTCGTTAAGAGAACCTCAGCGCGACGTGTCTTCGGCCAGTCTGTATCTTTCGGACGAGCTTTAAATCCGTATGCATCCTTCATATTCACGAATAAGCCACATGAAAATCGAAAGAGACAATGATTGTCACCTTTCCCGACGCGCCGAAGCCAGTAAGGACACTTCCAAGGGACTTGTAATACTCGTGATCAAAGGAAGGTTCCTCCAGCGAGTTTGGTGAAATAGGAAGAGGTTCGTTGGAGTTTAGTATGTTGTAAGCTGCGGGAGGGAGGTTTTCCAGCTCATTTCCCCATTCAATAGAGTCGGATGCACTGTGAGAGTCAGAGAGCACCCTCGCTAATTGCGTCAGATAGCGAGTCATGATGATCTTTAATCCTGTGCCATCGAACGGTGTGTGATGGGTATGGAACAGCAGACCAAATTTGGAAACCGTCCCATTGGCAATTTCGCCAGGGAGAAGGTGCATCCATGTCTGGTCTCCATCGGATGAAGGGACCTTCTTTTGACCCTCATCAACCCGCAATTGGTCAAGGTCGATATGCGAGGGTGGGTGGACAATGAGAGTACGATGCATCCACTGGCTGATCTCTTGCGGACTGGCAGTTGTATAAGTTATCGTGGGCAGCTCGGGATCGAATCCATTGACGGATGTCGCGATGATAGGAATTTGGAAGCGGAGCCAGCACCAGCATTCTTGAACAGAAGAAGCGAGTTTGGTTATGCTCACAGGATCGTGCAAGTCCAGAGTGAGTCCGAAGAACAATGTTTGATCACCCTTGATATGACGGTTCATAAGATCCTGGGCATGCTCAGCGCCTCCAAGAGGGCGAGTACATCCATTTCGACCGCCTTCACCTTTGAAGGGCTTCCATTTGAACTGTTCTAAATCGTAACGAGTAAGGATATTAGCCATCGGTGATCTTGTCTGGTAAGCTTGTGACTGAGGTATAGAATTATATACTGTTCACAAATAAGCTGAGATCGATATCATTATCGAAACTATAGGGCCTCTCACGCATCGGTTTCCAAAGATTTGACCATGACCATATGCATGTTGATCATTCTTCTGTACTTGTTGTCCAAATGAACTTGCCGTCAATGGTTATTTAAAGCGCAATGTGTAGCAATATCTAACCTTTCGGAAGTGAATCTCACATGATTTGCCAGTGGCTATCGCTGAGCGCTGAGCGCCCATAGGATCTTTGATTGTACTAATGCAAGCCTGGAAGCAATATTTTATTATTTATTTATTTGTATTTTCATATTTTTTTTGCTAGTCCATCGGATCTACCAAAGTACCTCACTTGCCCGCAGCTCGCCAGTTCACACCATTGATAATCGATAACCAATAGCAAGGATAGAGTGACACACACCGATCAGCTGAAGGGTCAACACACATCAGGGAAACGTAATTCATTACACATGATTACAGAGTGTTACGGAGCGCTCAGCCTCTGTAGACTGTAGCACTCTGTAGCAGTGGTCTGACCCACCGCTATTAGTAGAACCCTGGAAGCTCTAGCTCCAAACATTTTTACGAGACTGAAACACCAAATCACAAGCGGCCTTTATTAGTATTAGTATCACCGCTAAGGCAATCCCTTTTAGACTACCACCTCAAGCCGCAATGACGTCAGAACCCTACGAACGGTAAACGAATTGAATTTTCACTTATGTAATATTATCTTTTCTACATTCGACCAGATTCTGATTCGAGAAACAGACATCGAAAACATGAGGTTTTGCTGATGGCATCGCGGCAGCCTAAGCGAAACTCTTGCATAAAGTTTGATAGCAACCGCCTCCAGTGCATCTATTGTTTATCATTGTATACAATTCTTACGAGGCGTACTCTTCTTGCCTTCCCTGGATTTTTTCTTCTTCCTAACACACGTCGGTATGTGGACCCTCAAACTCTAAGCGTTGTTGATTACATCTTTCTCTTGTTCGAGCTATAGTAATGCACACCATGAATGGGAACCTGTCGATACAGAACAGCCTCTTGTGCCACCACCGCCATTGGTAGGCTGAGATTTTTGGGGTAATGGATTATATGGGCGCTTCCGGCGACTGTACATATCACCGCAACGGTAAGGTCCGAAGCCCGACTTCTCAACCTACCCCATCAGTATCTCACTGCGCACAAATACTGATAACGGTAGCACCTATTATGTAGTTGTGGTTCGCGACTTGCTTTGTGCCCGCCATGTCTCTTCCTAATCCAAACACTCCATTGGCATACCTGACGCCCACCCTTGCCAACCAGTTCGAAGTCTCCAGGTATATATATGCTGTGACTCTCGGGGTGAGTTCAAGGCTACTCCCATACGCTTTACATAGTTGATAGAACACACAATTCAGGCTTATATCTGGGACATTGTCATCAACCTAAGCAACGACTATAAGTTACTTTTCCGCCTTAAAGTGAATTTGCCAACCGTGGTTTACTATCTGTCGAGGTAATAAATGTTTTATGGCGCCAAAACGGATTATCGCTAAGACCCTTCTTGAAGGGTGTTCACTCTCAGTTATATCCTGACCAGTTTCATCTTCCAAGGTGAGTTTCTTTTGTTGCAGATGTTGCGGACATCCATAATTTGATGACGCCCACCTTTAGTTGCCAGTGTCCCGAATTGCCAGGCTCTCCAAATTTCTTTGGGGATCTGCATGGCACTAGCTCAGTCTACCACAGCTATGCTCTTTCTTCTTAGGGTATATGCGGTATGGTACGGGAGCAAAATCGTTCGTGGAGTGTTTATTTTCTTGTGGGTTGCGGTTGTAATAGCCTCTGCCACCGTCCCATTCGGCATCGAAGGCGTTCACATTGGACCAACTCAGCAATGCATCAACTCACAAGTTGCAGGCTACATAGAGTCCACGCTGATAATGGGACTTATCAATGATAGTGCTGTTGTAGCGGCTATCTCGTATCGTATTGTGAGGAATTGTGCCGCTGGAGATTCATTTGAAGTTCGCTTGCGAACGTTCATGGGCAGCGGGTCCATCCCACAACTTTCTAAGGCCCTACTGCAAGGTGGTCAACATTACTACCTGTAAGTGCGTCTTTTGCTCGAGGTCGCTATTCATTAATATCCATTCTTCATGTCACATCAATTAGGATTGCTGTTGCTAGTAACATCGTCATGCTCGTACTTCTGAAGGATCCAAGTGTGCCAGCCGTGTACCATGGCATGTGTAGCATTCCAGCCGTAGCTCTCATCAACGCGATGGCGTGCATCGTGTTTCGGGACATCAAATTCGGACGCATTTCTGCAGATGGCACCACCCGTTTTCCTTCCACAGATCTGTCACACACGTTCCTTAACAAACCATCTGCAAGCCGTTCTCTTCCCCTTCATGTTCGCAGCGCCTATTCTCAAGATGGTGAGTCTTACACCAAGAATACCAATACCGCGGACAAGGCCGCACAGGACGCAGAGTTGAACGCAGAATACGAGCGGGATCATGATGATTCCTCCATCCCGAAAGTGGTCTAGAGCTAGGTTGACGAAGTTCTCGCTACATATTTTGTTCCAATACTATGTAGTATGTGTTTAGTCGTTCGATATGCATCTGTTAGGTTTTGAAATCAAGTAGGTCCTGTGTACCGATTATTCTTCTTTGGAGTGACTCGAACACGAGGCTTTGGTCAAGATTTTGGATCTAAACCTGATCAAATATTTGAATACCGATATTATAATTCTGGAATTCGTGATGTAATCATCATTGCCACCGGCTTGATCCTTCCGGCGGAATTTGATGGTGGCGACGTGTACTATTGTCGATAGGTTATGGTCTATTCGTGATGCGGTGTTGACTCTGATCAAACTTACTGGCAGCGGACAATGATCGATGATGATCATTAAGAAATCAACAGGATCAGCGCTCAGCTCGAACAACAATAGCCTAATCAGCATCACCTGCGGTGCGCAAGCCAACTTGAATGACTCGGAATGTTACGTTGGCCTATTACCACATCGTGACTCGTGAGCGCTTCAATTCGATCTCTACTCCCCACTTCGGTACACCGGTTGGTAATGGTACGATCTACTCGTGATGCGGCAGTGTGTTGGCCTTGTTCTGGCTGCTGCGAACTTACCTGATTGGTGTGAGTTTAAAAGGATGGCTCTGTCCTTGCTGATGCCAGTGTTCATTGCCCATCTCCATACGAAATATCATGGCTTTTTCACAAGACCACTACCCAGTCGCACTGGTAAGCCTTTGGTCGACCAATTTACTGCTGGCTAACATAACCTATCCGCCAACTTGCAGGTTGGCATTTCTGCAGAGCTCCCGAGTGGTCCTCATGGATCAAACAACCTTGATTATCTATCGCTCTTCGACTTCCTCATGAACGAGCATCAAGCCTATGAGAAAATTCCGGGCGATAGATTCAACATAGATGCGTAAGTATGTTTCACATACGAATACCCCCCTTTGATCATTGACGGTTTTCCTAGTCTTAACGGAGTAAATATCGGCCAAGTGGCTGCCACACATGGCGCATTCTTGAAAGATTTAGATTTATTCGATCATATCGAATTCGGAATCAGTAGCAAGGACGCCAGGATTATGACAATTGGAACGCGAAAGCTCATCGAGTTATCATTCCTGGCCTTGTTGGACTCTGGAATCGATTATCGAGGAAAGAATATCGGCACTTATATGGCGAGTGTCGCCCATGACGCTTGGATGATTTCTGGCGAGGTTGGTGATACCCGTCTTGTGGTTCGCTCGCTTACTCCTAACGGTATCTTAGGATGATATTGAAACCCGCGGTTCATTGGCGTATTCCCCTTCGATGATTGCTAACCGTGTGTCATACCACCTGGACTTACGCGGCCCATCCATCCCCACAGATACTGCTTGCAGCTCCAGCCTTTCTGCCTTCCATCTCGCTATTCAGGCTATACGCAATGGAGATTGCGAAGCGGCACTTGTGGGCGGTTGTCAGTTGAATCATAGGTAGGTCCTTTTTTGTTTTTGAAAACTGAAAGTCGAAACGCCTTACTTGACCAGGTTTGTGGATTGGCTGGCATACAGCCAAGGTGGGATTCTTGCACCAGATGGTAAATGCAAACCATTCGATGCCTCCGCTAACGGGTGAGGCAACATTTGAATCTGTATCACTCACAAACTGAGAGTCACTTCAAGGTTTTCTCGGGGAGAGGGCGCCGTTGTTGTGGTTCTAAAACCGCTCGAGAAGGCTCTTCTTGATCATGACCACATCTATGCTACTGTGCGCCATTCCCGAAACATATATGTATATAATCGTTCTTATTTTCCATAGGTTTTAGGCACTGGTATCAATTCGTCCGGCTCGCTGGCTCCTGCAAATTCTCCTGTAGCCTATGCTCAAAGGGATGCGATGCTGAGAGCCTTCAAACAAGCTGGCCGTCAGCCACACGAAGTCGATTTCGTGGAGCTTCATGCCACAGGCAAGTTCCTGAACCTAGGCTGTTAGTTTTGCTGACTGTGCATAATTCTAGGGACTGCAATCGGCGATCCCACGGAAGCGAATTGGGTTGGAGAGAGCTTTCTGAAGAATGATAACTTGGAGCTCCTTGTAGGCAGTGTGAAAGGAAACATAGGGTATGTTGTCGGATTCATAAGCAACTTAGGCTCATTTGCGTTTTATCTAGTCACCTCGAGATCGCAGCGTTCCTCGCATCACTGTGTAAGGTTTGTTCCATGTTTCAATCGGGAACTATCCCTCCCAATGTCAATCTCCGCAACCCTAATCCGGCTATTCGTTGGGAGGACCTCCATCTTCGTGTAGTCTCGTCGCCGACCTCGTTACCTTGTCAATCCACTACTGGACGTTCGCTGGTCTCATTAGCAAGCTCTGGAATCGGCGGTGCCAATGGTCACTGTGTTATTGAAAGTCCTCCTTCAAGTAATCCTGTAATACCATTCTGGCGGTCGGATTCCATTCAAGTTCCTTGCCTCTTGATGGCGGGTGGCCTATCTCCGCGTTCAACAGCGGCAATAGGAGAATCTATACGAGCCATAGATAATCAAAAATTACCTTCTGTAGCGGTGACCTTCGGACGTCGATGCAGGTCTATGCCTTGGCGTTCTTATGCGGTCGCTTCATCAAATTCTTCCCCTCGTTTTACAGAGCCAGTTCTCGTTTCGCGCACCCCACCCCCACTTGTGTTTGTGTTTTCGGGACAAGGTCCCCAGCACTTTGAAAGTGAGACATCTTTAACATTTCGCAATTCGATGCTAAATTTTGTCAGTGGGCAGAGAATTATTTAGCTCCTGCACTGTCTTCCAGAGGAGCATACTCGAGATGGACGAAATACACAAGCTTTCGACTGGATTCTCGCTCATTGAACGGACTGGTCTTTTCACTCAAAACGCTCACTCCGTAGAAGCATTCGGCGATGTGTGGCCTATCTCAGTAACTCTCCCTGCTCTAACCATGCTTCAAATCGCAACTTTCGATGCTCTTGTAAGCCTGGGAATGAAGCCCACTGCGATCGTAGGCGCCTCTGCAGGAGAGACTGCCTTGTTATACGCGTCTGGAGCAGGTTGCAAAGCTATGGCTGTGGAGCTTGCAATCGCGCGTGGACGGGCTATGACAATCGTCGAAGGCTCTCAAGGCGCGATGGCTGCCGTCTCATGTTCCCCCGAACAGGCCCAGAAAGTTATATCTCAGATATACGCTGAACAGGGGAAGGCTGATATGGATATTGGCTGTTATAATGCTCCTGGCGCTGTCACTTTATCGGGCGCATCTGCTGATATCGACCTCGCGGTTCAATACGCAAAGGCCGCAGGATTTCTCGCAAAGCGGTTAAACACTGCTGTTCCTGTACATTCCAGAATGATGGACGCCTGTCGCGATGAATTTCTGCGGTTGGTAACGGATGTATTTGATCGCTATCCTTCACAGCCGCCTCAAATCCCAACATATTCCACTGAATGCGGTATGTTGAAGAATGACCGATTCAGCGCAGAATATTATTGGTCTGGCACACGTGGCCCAGTGCAATTTGAAGGAGCGATCCGCCGAATGATTCACGATTTGGATTCTCCGAGCTTTTTAGAGATAGGACCTCATCCAGTTCTCGCTGGTTATCTGGTCGCCCTCAGCGACGGGACAGCGACTGTTGTTTGTCCTCTGTGCAGGCCCAAAGCTAATCAAGGCGAAGTGGTATCTTTTCTTCACGCTTTGGGCAAGCTGGCTGTTGCTGGACATTGCTGTATCGACTTCAATATTCTCAACGGATGCACCGCAGCAGATGTCATCAAACTACCCGCTTACCCTTTTTCCCGCAAGAAGGTCCTCTTGTACCCAATTTCTCCTCTAATCAAAAGAATTTGCCAGCCTCGTAACGGGCCGTTAAACTACTCTCAGCTTCGTATCAACTCCCAGACACATCCTTACCTAACTCAACATGTGATTCAAGGCGAGCCCATCATGCCCGCTGCAGGTTTTCTCGAAATGGTAAGTACTTATTCGCGAAAGGTAAGGGTAATAACACCCAACCTGTCCTTTCCAGGCATTGGAGTTTGGTGCAAGACAATTATGGGATGTTAATTTCTTATTCATGCTGTCGTTACCCGGAGACCAACCAGTGTCAGTTGATGTCAGCACTGAAGGACCTCACTGGACGGTGCGCTCCGCTCTAGTAAATCCATTACAATCATCTGGTGTACCGCCTCAAGTACGTGAAACAAGTATATCGTTTTTCGTTTTATCACTCACCTATGGTTAGTATGATCGTTTGCATGCTGAGGGCTACCTATCTCTTGAACCTCAAAGTTCAGCCTTACCAGCAGTAGACATTCAGGCGATAAAGGAACGCTGCACACGAGTTAGCGTTGAAGGTCCGTCACAAGTCGCTGTCGGGCTTCGTCACTGACCCCACTGTCACAGGTTTTTATAACGCGCTTGAGCACTTCGCTCAATATGGACCAGATTACGGAAGGATATTGGACTGCTACCGGGGTACTGATGGAGGCCACGATGAAGCTTTGGTGCAGATCCGTGGCGATGTTGGCGACCTTCCAGGGTATGAGCGTTCATCTTGTCTTCACGATATACTCATGCGACAAACATGATAGACTGGAAAAATTCAAGATCCACCCTGTTATCTTCGACTCTGCGATACATGTTATGGTCCATCCAATGTTCACTTATCTCACAGACAAATTCTTGTATTATCTTCCTTCTCGCCTGCAAAATCTGACAATCCATGAAGCACTTGTTTCGTCACCATTCCCGCAGTCTCTCTATGCTCATGTTGTTTTTCGCCAGTGGGCACCTCGTGAGTTCGTTTATTATTGAGAATTCTGTCAGTAGTTCACGCCAAAGCAGAATCTCTGACATACGATATCGCCCTCCTGGACGAAGACGGAAATCATCTTTGTACAATGCAATCATTCGAAGTTGCCCTCCACGGAGAATCCTCTCTATATGAGCCAAGGCATTGCTTCGACTTAGTGTATGAGCCTATCGCACTCAACCTCTCTTCGTGTCGTCACC